ATTTCTATTTAGTTTTCAAAATGTGTTTAAATGTATCCATGCGTTGAAATGGTCACCAGAATATCATACTTTAATACTTAATTACTCCTGTAAGTTTTGAAATTCATATAATTAAGGGTTTTTCGCTCCTCCTTCCTGGTTTTGCAATCTCATTTACAGGATGTGTTGTGTCGATGACGTAACATTTTCAGATTCACGGTCACCAAAATCCTAGCACCGTCACAAGCGTCACTTTGAAGAGACATTTCTTCGGGTTTTGTCTTATTCATGCAAGTGCGTTCGCTATTTTTTTATGGAATAAATGTTGACCAATATAAAGTTTTTTACTATATGTTTTGATGTAAGTGTGTACGTTTTTCTATAGCCCGAGTTTCATCTTGTTCCAACATCAGACTTTTGAGCAAACGACGTATCTTACAAAATGCCAAAATTCTGTTGTTGGCACCACAGGAAATTCATGATAATGTTTATCGTATCTTTACTGAGCATGCGCTATATTTATTCCTAGTTGGAATGTCCTGTCAGGAATGTTGTAGATTTTGTCCGTTATATAGGAAACGACAGGTAACTAAACCGACAGCTTAAAGTAGGAACAGAAATTCATAAATAATATTTCCCTCTTCGTTTGTGTGCCCCCCGTAGATACATAGATGTATAAAACGGAAGTGGTGGCTTTAAGTGGGGACATCCTCGATCCCTTGTCAACACGCATAACGGACGCAATAGGAAACAGGTGTTTATAGTCCTACTAGCTCACCCCGATCCCTGTGGATATTTTAGTACTGTAGGTGAGACAAGCATTCCACAGTGCATAACGAACCACGTCCTTGACCATGCATGGCATGTACATATATCATAGGGCGTCTCCATTGTCTCGTATGTCTGGAACCCACAAAGCATATCGTACGCAATTACAGTTAAGGATAAACGGAATTTGCATAGGAAACATGTGCTTGTTGTTTAATTGCATTACATGAATCGGTTAATCTGAATCATCAAAGCTTCAAAATGCATTTAATTTAAACATCTAGTAGATCTAACCGACGAAACTGATGCATTTTGGGTAACACAACTGTATGAAAACTAACCGTTTATTTTTTGACGTCTTTCGGTTGTATTTTATTTGTTCCAAAACAAATGTCTGCAGAAGTCAATAAGGGATATTCAATTATTTGAAACTTTCAGTCAACTGATAATAAATGTGACAATTAGAAACAAGAATAAATGTACAACACAAAGCATATACTTGTAATGCTATACGTATATCAGAAACGTATCATAACTTCTCCAAGTTGATTTTGGGACAACCACACAATCTGAAATAGAGCATAAACTTGAAGGCAGGTCCTACCACACGGTAAATTAACTTTGTACATTACTGTGTAGTAGATATGTATAATGTGTGTCTACGTATGTAGGTTGATGTAGGTATAGGTATTGTGTATGCCCGGTTAAATTACTATCTAAGACTATAGGAGTTCTCGTATACAATTAGGTTACAGGGACCCACTACCCTAAAACTTGGCTCGAGTATGTGAATTCTAACACGCAACACTATACATGAACACAAATATATATGATTAACAGGAAGAAGCGTAACCTTCTTAGTAAGAGCGCAAACATACACAGACCAGTGACCTCGTGACTTCCTATCCCTTATTGTATAGTACAGACGGAGTTTTCAGTTTCAGTTTGCTGGCAATGTTTTACTTGAATAATGATGCTTAATGTTTGGCTTCAATAGGGATTCCAAACGCTTCAAAACGATTCCGGAAACTATCCGGAATACGAATTTCGGCAGAGAAACTGGAATTTGGAATTAACAGAACTTAAGAAACCTAATAAATATTATTGGCATTGTGTACATCAATTATAGCATTGGCGTATATAATGGGAACTTGCTGGAGTAATGATATCCGTTTAAACCAGGTTTAACTACACGTTTTAGAGGCGGAAATAATTGTACATAAACACCCCAATGGAATTTTTGACACGTATAAAGAAACGTATACGTGAGTCTGTGCGAACACCTTGTATCTGCGGCGTACTTCCTCCCTGTTCCAGTTGTAATGAACAATTTACAGTATGTACATGTTGTAAGATCTGGACAATAATTGCTGTAGGTCGAGTGTACGATGTGTTGTTAACCTTTAGCGGTGCACGTGCTTTGTGTAGCGAAACGACTTAACAGCGGGAAGGTTTCCTGTCGACGTTCTGAAGAAACCATGTTAACATATGTATACCTCATAGGACAGAACTACCGCGACAAGATGCCGTAACGCCGACAATCAGCGTCACCCTGGTAACACGTCATGTCCGTCACGGTATTACATTGACCATGCCCTTGTAACTCTTTATAATATTATATGTTATAATGATGTAAAACATGAAAATGACGTAAAGCTATGCATGCTCCCTACTTTACGTTTGCCTAGTACAACAGTGAATTGGAAAACAAGGCCATGTCCTTGACATCGAGATTAAATCGTTGGTACGGCTACCAAACACTGTCTGGTGGAGGACCTATTCACACTACTGTCCCCCCCCCCCCCCCCCCCTCATTTTATGCCTTCACAGCAAAGTGGAGGGGCATGAATTGTTCCCCGTTTTCCTTCTGTCTGCGCGTAAGTTTGTACAGCATCTTGGCTAGATTTTGCATCTTCTCCATTTCTATGATACGTGAAGTCCAGATATCAATATATCAAATGTAGGTCGCTGTGACCTACATTTTCCACTTCATTGACTTTGTTAAGACTTTGTAAAATTCCATCAAAGCAGAAGCAGGATATGTTTACTTTACAAAACTTTTCTAGCTATATATATTTACTTAGTAGTGTATATGGGAAAAACACCATATCGTGTTAAAATGATTGTCAGGGCAATTATCGGAACGCTAAATTTGCTGAACTCTGCGTTCGACCTTGATCCTATGTCTTAGCGAGCCACATCATTTCTTCAACATTTTAAAGTGTATCATCCGAATTTAAAAGTGTACAAATGTACAAACCTAACTCGAGCAGTATATAACCACTGCAGTGAAAATAGGATATATCGTTATAATGTATATGCATACAATTTTGAAGAGAACCACAAAAACGATCCGTTTGTATCCTCTTTAAACGACCTTGACTGTACTTATCATGCACGCGCACAGTATGTACATGTACAATGTCGGTTATCTCATGGTCGTTAGATTGAAGTATGATGCAAAATACAGCACATCGGTGATGTCGATAATGGTTTCTTTAACCAGTCAAGGAGAATTATTTACCGAGAAGGAAGTCGAAACACTAATTGGTTGTCTGTTGTACCCCACTTATTAATTTGAGCATAACATTAGTATAGACTTTGAATGAGGTGAATACGTCATTTTAACAACCTGAAAAAAAAAACATTATCAGAGGTAGAAGTCGAGCTGTATCCTACACAACAATAGTAACGGTTAATTATGTGACCGGAGTTTAACCCGGAGGTATGATTAAAGGATGAGATCATTTCTTAACAAATGTTGAATAAAAAGAAAGCATCATCTGTTCGTAAAGAAGACAACATGCGTCTGTCATAAACAGACGATTATCTTTAAGTTTGAGGTGTGCAGGTGTTCGGCATGAGGCCCCTGGCGAGGCAAGCTCTGTATACAGCAATCCGATTGCCATAGATCTTAGGTATTGCCGATTTGACCTTTCAAAGATTTCAAAGTAACCAGAGTATGAAATAAAAAGACAGAATAGCGACCTCATTCTGTGTAGAATGTGAAAACTCATGATATCGTCTCCCTGTTGGTTTTGGGCATAAATCATTGCACGGGATAATAGACATTTGTTCATATTTAAAATACGAACATACTCCAGAAAATAGTGTATTTAAAGCCGCCTTGACCATAATTTCCCCCCTAATAACCCCTAGACCAATAGAAATATTCCTTTTGAAAGCAGCAACACCCATCTAAGTTTGGTTTAGATATGATGTTCAGGCGATAACTTTCAAAAATCAACAATTTCGCAAAATTTCAATCTGTTTATAGCTACTGTGACCTTTAATTTGACCTAGGTCCCAAACCCAATAGTCATCTTCCTCTTCTTCAGCCATCTGAGATGTCGATTATTTATTCCCGGATTTAGCTTAATTTCGCTCATTTCTGAATGAGGGAAATAACATTTTGATACATGAAAAAGATCCATCAGAGAGACCAGGTAGCTCAATTGGTAGAGCGTCCGTCTAGAGTTCGGAGGGTTCCGGGTTCGAACTCCGGTCTGGCCGTGCATTTTCCCGCTCCTAGTATACTTCTATCCGCAAAAGAGTGATATCTGTCTTTTCAAAATACAAAGTTCTCATGTTTCTATTGGAAATATAGATTATCAAGTTAAAATAGATATATCACTAATTTATAACTATTTTATATAGTTTGTATATATTTGTATTTGGAAAAAGGTGATATGCTTGTTTCTTGTTGATTAATTAGAGATAACTTCAATTGAAATAGAAAAATCTCTACTTTGCTTTAATGTATCATAGTTAAAAAAATATTTTTTGCAGATCAATTTCAAATATCAAAATATTTATTTTAAAATAATAAAAAGTGCTATTACTAGTTTTATTAGCTTATGTATGTACTTAATGCATAACTCATTTATTGAAATATGTATATTTTTAATAAAAATGCAGAGATTTGAAAAAAAAGCTATGCTGGGTTATATATTAGAGACGTATATATTGTTATATAGAATAAAATAGCGTTTTTAAACAATTACAAATATTCTTATAAAGTTAAGTAGAATTATTACGGTGTCTGTCAATCATACAGACTCTGTGCTTTCATGATCCATATAGCAAAAACAACCTATTTATTTATATCTAAAAGTGCATGCTAGCCCTATTAAGTTTAATGATGAAAATATATATATTGAGTAAGCTTTGTTTCATGTATTGGCTATTCATGTACGCTTGTAGTATTATCGGTTAGTTAGGCCTGGTAGCGTCGCACCGGGCGTTGGCAAGGTTGCGCAAATTTCTGCGCACACTGATAGTTTCGTATGCAAATAAGATGTTGTTAACGCCATCTTGAAGGAATTGTTTACCATCGGGAAAATCGGAGCAAATCACAAAAATTGTGTGCCATCGAAGGCACATCTTTATGATTATTTCCCATTTAAAGTCCCAGGATGTCTACAGATTCCAAATTATCGACGACGGAAAGAGTCGTCAAGAGTAAGTATCCAGGTACTTTGCGACAAAAATAGCAAGATCCGCCATATTGGCTGTCAGCCATGACTGGGGTATCTGATACCCTTTTACGTCAGGTTGAAAAATTATTGATGCGCTTTTGCATACTCATAAAAGCTATCCATAGATCACTGTTGTTTGAAAATTATATGTATGTCTTGTTATATATATGCATATTTTGTTAATATTGCAGCCAGCATTAACGTTATTAACCCCATCTTCATCCCACTACCGCTGTTCAGGTGATTGACAGTTCTGTTGTTTACATTCCTAAACCAAATTTTAACACAGTGGCGCACCACCCGAAAAAAGGGTATCGTCCTTGGAATGTTGTCTTGTCTTCCGTCAAAAGTTTACTGTAGAAAAAATGCGATATTCGTAGTGAATACCATAAAATACGGGAGATCTCTGGTGCTCCTTGATATTTATGTCGGTGCCCGTTGCGGAGCCATTTGATTTCTGATGCAGCTAACATAATCAGAGCAAACGGTTGTTTAACTTCCAAATACAATCATTTTTAATAAGGAAGTCCTGTTTGGTGATTGTTCTAACCATCTTCATCCCTATGTTCAAAATATTTAGTAGGCATTCCATTCATTTCACCATGAATGTTTGCATACATTGATGACTTACCATGACAGGTCAAATATGTCTACTGAAATGTGTCGATGATTTGACCAAACATCAGCTGAACGCCATTTACTGTAGAGTGCAAAATATACATGCTTAAACAAACATGTGTTATTTACTAACGAGATGTAAAAGATGCCTTGGAAAATGAAACAATCGTAAAAAGTGTGCAGAAGAACAATTTTGATTGTTTTGTTTCCGAAACGAATGAGATGAAAGAAAAACATGGTTCGACAGTGCAGGGAGCTATAGCCACATCGGTCACGGGGTAAAACATTGTTATGATGTCCATGATCCTACATAGATGTCCTGATGGATGAAGCTACCTTTCTTTCTCAGGAGTCATCTACTCACAATATAACATACAATGTTGTTAATGATTTAAATCATGATGGAGATGAATTTCCGATCAAAATCTGATTATAGGTCCCAAGTCTTGCAGGAGTATTAACTAAGAAAATAAAAGGTCCAGCTTGTGTAAAATTAACTTGTGAATTAGCTAGTTCACTCAACATATAAAGTGTCAAACCCCTTTTGTAGGTATCTGCGATATGGAATTTCTTCCAGAGGGTGTAGAATTCATGTATCCCCCATATCAACATAAAGAGTGACTTTTTCTCCCACATCTTGCACAGGAATTTAATAATTATTGACAATGAATTGTGAAAAAAGACTGTATAAGATGAGAATAAGTGTAGTATACTCAGACTTGTACCTTGAAGTTTAAGCACAATGCAAGACCATTAATACATATAATTGTTAATTTCCATTTGCTGGTGTTAGTTGCAAACCTTGTATGCTGGTAGGTATTGTTCCGTTGACTAGAAGGATAATTAATCAAAATCGTGTTCACTTTAAAGATGAGGTCACATCAAAACAACAGCCAATGTAGTAATAGATATCATTGTGTATTCAATTTGTTTTTGTGTGCTTCCTAGTCGGGATTTAGAAAAAAAGTGTATTTCCTGAATTGGAGGTCATATAGTATACAAGTGGGTATATATTTTCCCTCGTATGGATGTTCCGGATCCACATGGGATTGATTTTATGATATTTATTTTGGTCTTTTAAACTGTGAAGCATTAATTCACTGGTACAGCACACCTTGGATATATTGTGTGCCTATTTTAAAAAGAATGTACATATTATGCATGTCACTCAATATCTTGTGCAATTATTTGGATAGCCAAACCACACTAATTAAGGCCAGTATAAGTTAGTTTCTGCAAATCATGAAATGCAAGTTTTTCTATTCTCCCGACTAGTACTGTCTACCCTGTAGATATATTTAATAAGAAAAATCCAGAAGACTCGCTTTGACCAAATTCATTTTGTAAAATCCAATCCTTTAGAATCATTTGATTTGTTGAAGTTGCACGTATTACACAATTGTTTTTGAGTGTCTGATGCCCACTTTCATAATTATGGTTGTAGCCTGAGCCAGATTTTTCAAAGTGAACAGAAAACTTGGCTGGCTCTGACAAAATCTACTTAGTTCCTAGTCCTAGGTCGAAGACCCAGGTCATGTCCAGCTTTTGGAATTGTACACCCTTGATGATTTTTTAAAACATTAGAGATGTAATTTTGTTACTTATTGCATACATTCAATCAATGGATTGCAAATGTTGATGCAAGATGTTTTGAAGTAGATTATGTGACTGTCAAACAACCTGCATTTAAAATCCTTACGGAATAGAAATGCAAAGGTAATTTTAACTAACATTGAATTTGCTCATATATTTTTGGCCATTTAAGTTTTGAAGTGCCCATAGACCTTAAGCTTGCACATGCTGTTTCAAGTCAATGTCTAATGTGTTTTGTTTTTTCTTTGTAGATGCACCCTTTCCACCAAGCCACAAGCTTAATTTGAGCGAAGTTTTTGGTGCTAATGGGAAACCTAAGCCAGAAGTTTTGAAACAGCACTTCATTTTGGAGGGTCGTGTGACAGAAGATGTAGCATTACGAATTATAAATGATGGTGCTGCTATGCTGCGCCAAGAGAAAACCATGATCGAGATAGAGGCCCCAGTTACAGGTAAAAGACAGTCACATTGCAAAGTACTGGTCGTGATTGTATTTGATCTATACTTGCTGACCTTTAAAATTTCTTCTGGCTGAAAACTCATATCGGCAAATCTAAAACTGTTCTGATGCCACCTATTTGACTTTACCTAGTTAAGCTATCTATGCTATTAATCAAATTTATTGAAAAGCAATATGTACGGAATAAGTTGGTTTTAAAAGTAAAAATGAGAGTAAAAAAAATATAAATCTTCTTCAAAAATAGAGACTTGGCAAATATAAATATTGTATGCAGTAGTCATGTTTAGTAGACTGTTTCACATTTTACTGCAAAGTTTGTATACTATGTTCTCGAATGCTGCATTGCTAATTTTGTTTCTATTCCCTGAACTTGTCTTTTATTGTATAAGTAAAAGCTTAGAGCGAAGATTGGACATGGTGTAAACCACCATCGCAAATTCAGTTGAATATTTAAACTACTTTACATGCAGGAATGGTATGCTCTTGGGAGAAGTTAATTATTGATCGAAGTAATAGTTGAATAGTGTTTAAAATGGCAATTAAATGATAGTATGATCACGATGGAATCAATGTGTAACTAAAATTGTCATCATGCAGTGAACACTCAAGGATGTGTTTTGTTTTGCAGTTTGTGGCGACATCCATGGACAATTTTATGATCTAATGAAACTTTTTGAAGTTGGTGGCACACCAGCAACAACTCGCTACCTCTTTTTAGGAGATTACGTAGACAGAGGATATTTCAGCATTGAAGTAAGTAAAGCACAAACACTGGAACATTGGTTCAAAAATTATACACTTTAAGGGTTAAATCACCATGGAAACCATGTGATATACTAGAATGCGTATATATTGTGATTAAGTCGACATATTTAATAATCCATTCATTTAATTAAGGCAGTGTAAAAATGCAAGTAATAACTTTTGTTTTGAAAATGTGGACTTGCTATGTTTGACAAATTATGTTATTTAAAGAGGCCTGTTTTATGTGTCAATTGTGTCGCCCCAAATAACCTTAAGTTCACATAAGTGTAAAAATTGACAAATCTGAATTCTTAATACTCTACTTTCAACAAGGATTTAACACAGTTGTCAGAACATTTTTGTAAATAGTATTTGGTTAGGTCTCATGTCAAGCAAGTTCAGCATGAATTAAATTACTACGATATACTATAATAGGTCTGGCTAAAGGGAAGGGAGCCACCATATACACTCATCTATTCAATGGTAGAATCACTTAAATCATATAGCTCATAGCACTATGCTGTGTTGTAAACATAAATATAGTCCCAACTAATTTCAGTATTAGTGCATAAGAAATATATATTACTTATTATCTATAGTGTGGAAGTTCTAAGACTAGACATGCACCAATGTCTACACCAATGTGATATAAAAAAAAGTCATAATATTTGCACAACGGCAAATGGATAACTTTTCTTTTAATTAAAACATGGTGTGCTGTAGTGTTGTTCCGATGAATTAATTTAGTCGACGTCTGGTTGTTTGTTTCTGAAAATCGATTAATCAATCATTGTTTTCCATGATCGTTTATAGTTTGACTAATTTAAGTATTAACTAAAAATAAACTTGGATAGTTGCTATTATGACCGCCGACAGTGAGTTGTTCGTTCTTGGGCAAAACAACTTGACCTAACATCCCACACAACAGGGATGCTGATTGGCTAGCTGGTCCACCTGACAACCAATCAGAACTTACGTTTCAATAGAAATGCTGCATACCTCAGTCGGTGCTTGACAATATGTCAAACCAGGACATTCCGGATATTAAACTCTATGATCATCCGGGGGCTACTGATTTAAACTTTTGGAAGGTATTGTTCCTCCTTAGCTGGATATAAATAAAATGCTTTGTTGAAAGTGTGGGCTATCTTACAAATAAAATGTTAAGTTTGACGGGGTGTCATCAGGTGAATGCCAATCCATCGCAGCATTTCTGAATACGAGATGCAGCTGTCACAGAATAATGGACATTGCAAACATCATCAATTTCATTTCCAAATACATAATTCTCAATAATTATAAGGTTCTGTTGACAAACGTATTGTTTTTGTATGAATGTTGTGCGTTATTAGCGAAATTCTCTAACATCAGGTTTCCCCCGGAAATGAAAGTGAAACTAGATTACGGAAAGCTTATATAACCTTTAATTACTGAATTTAAGTTTAATTTGATCGATCATTAGTCGATCATGATCATCAGTCACTTAATTAAAAGTGATGATCGAGTATGAATTTACAAGTGATTCCCAACACTAGTGTGCTGGTCCTGTACTACTGGAAATGTGATATTTCTTTCCTTGATTAAGCTTAACTATTTTTAAATGTAACGTTCAATTCATTGCCTATATATTGGAAATAATGAGTAAAATATTTTTTTAAAACATTGTGAAGTAGCTAGTGGTGTACTGTTAACTGGAAACATCTATTAAATTGAGCTTGACATGAGGTCGATTCGATATTCAATTTAGCACATGAAAGATCGATTTTGTAGGTTTGTCATGAAGAAGATCGATTTTGTAGATTTGTCATGAAGAACTGAAATTATTAAGATGCATACGGTTGCTTTTCAAGTTTAATCCAAAATGAAACGTCCCTTTCATCCGTTCTTGTTGATTCTCGCTTGAATCATGCCGGCATTCAAGCGTGGTAGCTTAAGCGTCATTACGTAATCAAGGTCATTGCAGTGTTTTGTAGGTACGGCTAAATTTATAACTGATGAAATCCGGAAATATGGCAAATGGCGGCCACCGGAATGAAAACACTTTCTTTTTCAGCGAAGGGATGGTGGGACATAAAAGTACCAACTCAATTTGAATCAATTTCAAATGGGTTAACTTTATTTACAATAATAAATGTCATATCAAGTACCAAAATGCATAAACCTGTTACGATTGCTATCATCATGACTCGTCTGCAGGAGATAGGAAAATGAATGTTCACTTCTCAAACGGTAATCTATCGGTTATCGTCAATTTTTTAAGTACCTTTTCTCATCATATGAACGTCTCTTAGAAAAATAACACATAGTTATATAAATATTTTTTAATGATTGGACAAAATGGCAATTTATTAAATGTATTCTTTTTGGTGTTTATTTCAACCGATTACCGATCGATCTTGAATGTCCGATAATCGATCTTGAATGTCCGATAATCGATCTTCAAAATCGGACCGATTCCCAGCACTAGAAGTAGCATATTTGAGCAAATTTGAGGGTGAAATTTTTGTATCAAATTGATATGAAAATTTCTCGATTTATATAGTAGATAATAAAAAAGAAATGTGTAAAATCAAGGCCTACAACCAAAAGCCTATTAATACATGTTGCTAATATTAATGCTGTAGTAAGATTCACTTTGATATTTTTTCAGGCTTTAAATTTAACATTCATTTCAAGATACTACAAATTTAATATATGGCATTTTTTTTATGTGTACTTAAGTATACATAAGAAATATGATATTTTCTCTTCAATAAAACAATTGTTTTTCCCTTTCAGTGTGTTCTATACCTTTGGTCCCTAAAGCTTCTACATCCAAACACATTTTTCATGTTGAGAGGCAATCACGAGTGCAGGCATCTTACAGAATATTTCACGTTTAAGCAAGAGTGTAAGTATACATATTAATCGGTGTATTGAGTCTACCCTAGGTATGGCATGCTTTCACTTTATTTAAAATAATGGCATTGATTTATTGATTTTAATTGGAGATGGTGCTAAATGTGTTTCCTAAAGTGTATATGTTGTGTCAATTTTGAGCACTTGTTACCAGATTTAAATTCTCTATAGATGAAATGATTTCTAGCTCACCTGGCCCAAAGGGCCACGTGAGCTTATGCCGTACTGCGGCGTCCATCGTCCGTCCGTCAACTTTGTCTTTTGAACGACTTCTTCTGAAGAACTGTAGGACCTAGGGTCATGATATTTGGCCAGTAGGTACCTGGGATGGAGTGCTATAAAGTTTCCTCATTAAAATGACCTTGACCTACTTTCAAGGTCACAGCGGTCAAATATGTTAAAAATTTCAAACAACAATATCCTAAGAACTATTTGAACTAGAGTTATGATACTAAAGTATGTTATGTAGACCAGCAGTGCGAATATTTTTCTCATCACAGTTTTGAGGTCAAAGGTCAACTTTAAATTCTAGTCGGGGGTCAAATGTCAACTTTGGTTAAAAGCTTTAAAAATCTTCTAAAGTTCCATCAGACCCAGGGTCATGGTACTTGGCAAGTAAGTACATGGTATGTAGTGCTATAAAGTTTCCTCATTAAAAAGACCTAGACCTGCTTTAAAGGGCACAGGGGTCAAATATGTTAAAAAATTCAAACAACAATATCCTAAGAATCATTTGAACTAGAGTCATGATACTTGGGTATGTTATGTAAACCAGCAGTGCAAATTTTTTTCTCTGTTACATTTATGAGGTCAAAGGTCAACTTTAAATTCTAGTCGGGGGTCAAATGTCAACATGGGTCAAAGGCTTTAACAATCTTCTTCTCAAATTCCATTAGGCCCAGGGTCATGATATTTGGCCAGTAGGTACCTGGGATGGAGTGCTATGAAGTTTCCTCATTAAAACGACCTTGACCTACTTTAAAGGTCAATGGGGTCAAATATGTTAAAGACTTTGAACAACAATATCCTAAGAACCATTTGGACTAGAGTCATGATACTTGGGTATGTTATTTAGACCAGCTGTGTGAATTGTTTTCTTCATTACAGTAATGAGGTCAAAGGTCAACTTTAAGTGCAAATCGGGAGTCAAAGTTCAATATGGGTTAAAAGCTTAGAGATTAAAATTTCAAGTTTCAAACAACAATATCTTCAGGACCGTTTACGAAATGTTAAGATGTCTTGTGTTCTATTTACCAAATTTGGTCTTAAGTTACCTATATGTCAGTTGCATGTAACAAAAGAAACAGGTGAGCGATACAGGCCCTCTGGGCCTCTTGTTGATAAGACTGTTGATATGAAATGTTTAAAGGTAATCGCTTGAAGAATTTCAAAATGTATCGAATGATTTCTTTCTTTCAAATGTAGGTAAAATAAAGTACACTGAGAGAGTATACGATGCTTGCATGGATGCGTTTGACTGTCTGCCACTGGCAGCACTAATGAATCAGCAGTTCCTCTGTGTTCATGGAGGTCTTTCACCAGAAATCCACACATTAGAAGATATAAGAAAAGTATGAAATGATTTATATGAAAGTCTGCTTTTAATTGAATGGTATACTTTAATTTACTATGCTGGTGCATTATAAAGGATTCTTATGAATCAGAATCCAAATTTTAACATTTGTGAAATAGAAATTGAAAAGGATAAAAAAATGAAGAAGTTGTTTGGAGTTGCTTGGTTATAAATTGAAGTTAATACCCCAATCTGTGTTAAAATGGCCTTTTAAAAATGCGCCATATCTGCAGTTATCCAGGGCTGCCCATGTCATAAACCTTTTTTTTTTTTGAAATGCACAACAGGTACATAAAGTTGTGTTTTTTTTCAGTGGAAAAAAAGTTCATTTCTCTTTTTGCTGTCAAATTTTTAGCATTATGGCAAATGAAAATAACTGAACATGCAACCTATTAAAAGTACGAAATAGCTGCAGGGATAAAAGCTCATGGTTATACTTGTATGTTCTTCTTTAGCGATTGAGGACAACTTTTTGTGTTATGTGCTCATTGAGGATGGCTTTTCAGCATTAAAAAAAAATAATGTTTATCACATCAATTTAAGTAGGAAGTAAATTGTATGAGTATTGAGTAATAATAGTAACATGCACTAATATTCCAGTGGAATTCAGAAATGAAAGATAGATTTTTTTGATATTGCAATAAGTATTCTCATATAGATAATAAGATCTCTCTAAAATAAAAGTAATCAAAATGTTCTTTGCTCTTTCAGTTGGACAGGTTCAAGGAGCCGCCTGCATTTGGTCCCATGTGTGACCTTTTGTGGTCTGACCCCCTTGAAGACTTTGGAACAGAGAAAACATCAGAACACTTCACTCACAATAGTGTCAGAGGTTGCTCATATTTTTACAGGTAAATTAAATAATTCATTTTGATAGAGATAATATGCAAAACTCTATTCCACTATGAAAAGCACAAGTTCTGAAGAATTTTAAATTTCCTCATGTATGTTTTAAGTTTTGGAAGATGTACTTCAGTGTCCAGTAATGATCTTTAGATTGGTCATTGAATTTATATAATTTATTCGTAGGGATATATTTTTGTCAGTTACGGATAGGTTTTAGATTTCAAATATATATTAAATGCAAAGAATGAAAAATCGCTTCACAAGATGTATGTTATATTAATAATTTATTAATGGCTGATGATGTTGAAACTTATAACATAGGAATACATCTATAGTCTATAGAATAACTAATCAAAGTGCCCATAGTCAAAATATTTTGTTTTCTCTTTCAGCTATGCAGCATGTTGTGATTTTTTGTCACAGAATAATTTATTATCAATTATTAGAGCCCATGAGGCACAAGATGCTGGGTAAGTAATCTTGACATCATATCTTGACCAATTGCATACCTAGAACTAGATTTGATATCTACACCTCTTTTCATTAAGGCTGTTCCAGAAATTTATGTTTTATGTCAGTTGTTAGTGTCTTCATGTCTCCCATCTGAAATAACTCTTTAAGTTCTAAAATGATATTGTCGCACAAATTTGCAGACTATACATTATAAGTTTTGTAAAACTCCAACTTTCAAATCAGTTTACTAAAATTTTGTATTATATAAGACAGAGTAAATACTTGTCTTATCCAGGGATTATAAAGGGCTTGGGCCATAGGAGCATTCAGAACTGAAATGACCTGTCATATCGGATAAAAATTTCTGTAAAAGTGTCGATTCTTGCACATCAATTTTTTTTGGCGAAATAGTCACAGTATGGAAACTTGCGCAATTGTTCTGAAATGTATATTTTTAATTTATTTAATCTCTTCATATTCACTTGTGTTAATGTTCATGCTAACTTTCTCGATGTGAAAAACGCAAGCATTTCTATGTAATGTTGATTATAGAAACCGGCCCACTGAAATAACCAAACTTAAAAAAAGGCCTTCATGTGGTTAAGACTTCCTAAATATGACTGATAAACTAAATGTATAACAAATTCTAAGATTTTGTTCCTTTTCATTGCAGATACCGCATGTATAGGAAGAGTCAGACAACAGGTTTTCCATCACTAATAACGATATTTTCAGCTCCAAATTACCTAGATGTTTATAATAATAAAGGTAAGTAGCAAGCTTTGATAGCTTTCACTGCAGGACATCAAGTAAAAACTCTATCGGCTATGACAAACAACATTGTCAACTGTATTGTTTGTATTGTTAGTGGGGAATTAAATTTCGCTTAAAGTTAAAGACTGCTAGTATTATTACCACAAATTATGATTGACATGACTTTATACAGACTCGCAAAAAATGTATAGAAGTATTTACCTGTTTACTATCGAATAATCCAGTTGTCCAAATTTTATCCAGCTGCACATTCTGTGACAGTGTTGATATTAATTTGATTTCAAACCTTCCATACAAGTGTTGTTATAAAACAATTAAGTAAAAACAACTCTTATTCTGATGTACTTGCTTTTATGGAAAGGTAAACAAAGCTCGCTTGTATATTGGACATATCCTTGATTCTACTGTTGCCGTGTGCTATAATCTAATCCGTCAACCAAGTGTACCAGATAAGTTACATGGAAGTAGCCAGTGGCCTTGAAATTTTGACTAAGTGCTGTTGTGCTAAATTTTATCCCTTTGAAAAAGTTCCAATTGGAACAACCGTGAAATATTTGTCCTGCAAAATTAAACAACTTATACTATATTTCCACATCAACCATCTCATCTTTTTAAGACTAATTCATCTTCCTATTCTCAATTTTTGGTGAGGTGTATTTGTTTTCAGCACATACATACAGGAGCACGCTCAATGATTCAATAGGACTGGTATTACCCATATCATCCTGACATGGTGGAATAATTGCCTAGAGATTTCACATTGTAAGACTCTCCTCCCACCAGAACAAAAAAGGATTACTGAGGATGAATATTTCCATGATTTCTGAAATCCCCAAAACAATAATTTGTTATTTTGTAGCTGCCATATTGAAGTATGAAAACAATGTGATGAACATCAGACAGTTCAACTGTTCTCCACATCCATATTGGTTGCCCAACTTCATGGATGTGTTCACTTGGTCACTACCATTTGTTGGCGAGAAAGGTAAGTTTGCATGAAAAGGCATGCATCGAGAAATGTAGCACAGATTACTCTGTAAAACCTTAATAGATTCCAAATGATTGAGGAGAAATGACTTCAGTGTGATGATTAACTTTCAGAATTGCATACTTTTGTTTAGTGACATGTGGTGATACTGTCTGCTAAAAACATCAAGAAAAATATTGGATATCACCAAGCCATGTGTGTTTGAGGTAATTTTATTCTCGAACTTGCTGGTCCATAAAATGGCTTGGGAGTATGGAACTTGAAATTGACAATGTTCAGTCGATAGCTAGCTATCTGTTCATATGGCCATCATTTTAATTATGTTGTGTTGATAACTTGATATGTTTGATTTCAGTGACGGAGATGCTTGTTAATGTATTGAGTATTTGCTCTGACAATGAGCTAACAGCAGAGGAAGAGGAGGAAGAGGAGGATGGAAGTGAAGGTATGCACAAAGTACCTGTAATCATTCCTATAGTACAAAGTATATGTTTACATATATCTGTCAGTGCAACTCCTATTCCTTGTGTGTGGACTGGTTACAAACCAAACTTTTTGCCCTGACTTCTATCCTTTTCGAAGTCAAAGATTTGTTAAAAACTTTCAATTCTCCTTTGTTACTTGTTCCAAAATCATATTGAAATGCTTACATGCTCTTGTGATGTAGCGGAATGTTACAGGCGGTCGCTTTATGAATGATCCGATTCCTATTGGTTCAAATTCAGGAGTGACATAGTGACTTAAGCTTATAAACATATTCTTAGTCTTTGCTAAGGATGCTAATACAGTGTTCTTCCCAGAATTTTTCTCTGCGTTTTGGTACTTAATTTTCCCCATTTTATTTTACTGTGCTTGTGATGCATAAGTCTCAAAAGACGTATCAAAATTCAGTCTTTAATTAGATGATTTGCAGATACATTATTCAATTGAACTTATCCAGTTGAATTATAAGAATTATAGTTTTAACAGATGGTTACAAAACTATTCGCTACCTTTTCATAGCATCTCCTCTGTTAATTTCTGGTACAATGCAATAAATAAGTTGGTAATTTTACCATACTGTGGTAACATTGAATTCTACACCTGATTAGGTATTAGTGGTCATAAATCACAGGCAAAAATACAAGTAGTAGCTTGTGTACACTGCTACACATTTAATCAATCCTTGTCCTTGTCATACAAAGCCATCAGTCAGACTTCAGCAGAAGGTCCCGACAAGAGAAATTGATATCATAATGGCCAACTAATGAGTATTGAATTAATTTGCAGAATGAAATGCACACATAACAGTACCACAACACAAAAAATACTGGGAAGGACACTGGTTTACAATTGATGCAGCAGCGCATTAGTTATTGGAGAGAATCAAGCCTAATGGCTTACTTTATTATGATATATCCATTTCTTTTTGAGACATCTGTATTTTGTCAAATGATCTATTACATTACTTGGCTTAAAAGCTTGTTGCTTATATACCAATAAGTCAAACAGGACCTTATTTTATATGCATGTTATTTTCAACCAGATTTCATTTATATTGGCTCGTGTTATTCATACTTGTGTAGTTATTACAACACTTGTTTTAGATTATTAAACTACCAAATATTAATGATATTGGTTAGTTGATCTTGTTTTAAGATGTAACATGTACAAAACAATATTCAGTTTCAGAGTTTCTCTTCACTTAAAAGATGCTGTAAATAAAAAAATCAAATAATGTGTACATTTGCCTCTTTAGCAAAAATACTGCAGGAGAAAAATGAATAGTATTAAAGAAGTTACCTTTACAGTGGAACTGCGAAAAAAGGAAATTTGGATTGATTTGTACATGTGCATCTTATAGTGTTTATCCCATACAGTCATGCTTCTGTAAGTGAATTTATGTGCTTAGGTACTGTAATCAAGTGTTCAAACAGTTGTTTGTACACACTGATAAAAGTTCAATGAACTTAAAAGTTATGTTTATTGAAAAAAAAAAAAAATGGAAAAAAAATTTGGAAACGTGTACAACATGTACAACTTTTTTTTTTTATTAAAGAAGAAAAAAAAATGGCACATAAAAAACATACAAGGAACCTATTATTTTGCAAGTTTTGTTTATTTCTTGTGGTTAGTATTTATTTTTGTTGCATTTTTATCATTACTATTTTATGATTTAATGCTTTTTTTTGTTCATTTTCTTCATGGTTGGTCTCCTTGACTTGGTTACGTTGCATGTGCTAACCTAGGGCCCCGCATAGCTAATGGTAAGTGGAGCCTCCAGATTATTATCCATCCGGCGTTCATCCTTTCAGCACCAGTTTTTGACTTACAATTTTGACGAGTGATTGATGTAGTACTCCTGCTAACTTATTGTATCTAGTTCTGTAAAGCCCACCTCTTGGTGTATAAAGCAAAATCTGTGTTGCTTGTTCCACATTACGTGTTAACACCTTTCCTAACTCACTTATTTAGTGCCACTTATCAAAAAACTGAATCCTCACAACCAAAAAATTAGTGATTACTTGTAAACTGAACCATTGTAGTAAATTCCTGTAACTTCTGTTTCTAATGGTCATGATATACTGTATACAGTATAGTCTCTGTATCTCCCCTGTTTGTAAAGGTCTGTATAGCATGCGTCTGTAAATTTAAAATATATCCTGTAAATTTTACCACAGCTAAAACATTTTTATCTTCAATTAATCAAACACTTCTTCATTTTTATCGATGTATTGGGTTTTGTATCTGGTATCTATTTTTTGGGTCACTTGCAAGATCTGATTCACTTAAATTTGCATATCATAGTTAAAACTTTAATCTCTTCAACTTTCCTCACAGGTGACTGGTCAGATAGCAGATCAATAGTTACTCTGCTGTATCTTCTAATTCTAGCTAGACATTTGCAGCTTCACATTTTCCTGATGGCATATCAATTAAGGCCTGATGCTGTATTGATTTTGGACAGTGATGCTGAATATTGTTTTCATGTGTAATAATTAAAGATAATTTGTAAATTGCCAGTCCGTCACAAACATGCTGGACGTGAACTACTTGTAGTAGACAGAGAGGCAAGTAAGTCAACAATTTTGCATGTCAATCAGCCATTTGTCATCAAGGTGGATGAACCGTTGAAATATACTCGGGTTTTGTAACATATTTTACTACTTCAGAATGAAAATCATACTGTTCCTCTGTTAGAGTTTATGTACGAACAGGAGTGACTGAAATGTAAATCTCATGTACATTTCATTGTGTGAATTGAGTTGTCCAGTGTGTGGCCGATACCTGCTTTTACTACCTTGACTATGTATTCCAGTTATGAAAGGTGTCCTTTGTTGTCAATTGTCTACATCTACAATCTTATTCTACGCGTGATTTTTCCAGTTAGATTAATACATTTTTCAGAATTGACTGTTTACTTGATTAATAAGTTTTTACTATCGCAATCTAAAATCAGAAATATTATCTTACCAATTTGAAAAGTTTAAATAAGTAGGTCATATAAAGTTAAATGTTTTTGTTCATATGTTGTTTGCATAGTATACATGTGTGTTCTTGTTATAGGATGTTGTCATGTGTCTACGTATAGTACGTGTTGACTAAATGTTTGTGTTAAGTACATGTATATACTAACATGTTGAAGCGTAGTGCTGCATTCCAGTAAATTAAAAGGTAAGCTTTTGACTGCTGTGGAAAATAAAAGGTTCATTTCTTCTGGTGTTAACAGTTCACATATAGAGGAATTCCAACCAAATGAAAACTGGATACTTGTGGTCTTAGTTCTGAAGTAGTAAAGTATGAGTCGGTTGGCTGCTTCATTATGACATGCAATATATATATATACACGTGTTATTATTTAGTATTAAATCACATAGAGTTGATATATACCCAGAAATTGGTTACAGCGTAACCTTATAAGTTGAGCGCTATTGTGAAATACACATATGTATAGTTGGATGACTAACAATACTGTTTTGTCACATGCTGCTTGACTCTCTGTCCGTACTACTAAACAATGTGATTAAGACCTTGCTAACATGCCATTTGTTATATATTTGCAGTGTTGTCAATAACATATAGAGCGGGTGCATTTCAGTAAAATGTAAGAGTCATTTTCCAGAGACATTCCGAGGCATCCCATGTTAAAATGTATACTTTGCAGTTGATGACAGGAAAAAAGACATTTACAAATGGCCAAGTCCCAGGGGACATATTGCTGGGTGCCAGTTTTTATTGACAACACTGTATTAGCCTATTGTTTTAATTTTTGCTTTACAGTTTTTACCATTTATATGAATGGTGTGCGATATATTGTGTCAAAAAGTACATGATTATTCGCTATAGTACCATATGCCAGTGTTTGAGTTTTTGCATGACGTTTGGCATAGATTAGATCTCTTATGTTGAAAACAAAATGTGATGAGAGTGTTGTAATCCCAACATTAGTGTAGATGCACCTAAATGGTTTTAGTAGTTGTTATATAGGTTGTTTCACTTGAAGGCAAATTAAGTATTACTCTTGATATTGTACATTTAGTTCTCGTGTATTGATAATTTGAATATTTATAATCCTTTTTTTAAGAAGCTCATACATGTAGAATGAAAAAGTATATTGTTGGAAATAGATTAAAGTGACTTTGTTTAATTATTGTTTACATCATTTGTTGTTAATTTAATGCAGGATTAAGAATGATCAAACACATGCAGCTATTGAGATGACATTGTGTACTTATTTTCAAACGTATTAAAATAACCACTTAAAGTTCAGTACATGTAATTGTTATAGTGCGAAAAGAATAAGTTATTTCCAATGAGATTGTTTAAGTAACTTCTTATAAAGATCAATCCAACTGTATGTATATGATATTGGAGCTGGCTACTAGGTCAGACACAAGTACAGCATGTACCTGTATGCATGTGTCATTGAATAGAAGTTGGTGGTGTGGTAAGGGTTTGATTTGCTGTTTCTTGCATTTAAATAGTTGGGTGTGCAGTGATTATTAGACAAGAGTTCATATTTCATGCCATTTTATATATTGAGATAAATAGATTTTTAAAAAACTATTTATATACATGATGTACTAGGTATATGGTTGTTGAGGGTTCATACTTCTAATTTGGCATTGTGGAAGTAGTGCATGTTGATAATTTCAATTTATGATTTAAATTGTCAAATGTCAGTATTTGTATTTGGAATTTTTGTTCAAATTTATTGCACAAGTAATTATGTACTTTAGGTGCAGTTAATTTAGATTTTCATGAAACAATGTTTAGTATCTGTTAGATCAGAAAGAAATGAGATGCAGCATGCTACCTCATATTTTAGCTAATTTATTACAGTGACAAATTACCAGCAATATTTCTGTGAAAATATAAATAACCTTTTGACCTTGGTCAGTTTATTTTAAGTTAACTAGCACTAGATTAGCTACCATGTGCCCATTGACATGCACAGTGAATTGTCAGTATGTAGTGTGGATTAGAAGTGAGGTGTGAAAGTGGTCTATTGTAAAACAGGTGTTTTGTCGATTTATTGCAGGTGCTACAGTTATGGCAAGGTGATTTAGAAACAAAGGTCAGTCATTGGCAAAATGGCTAGGGTCTTTACTTAGTTACAAATGGGACTGGGTACTCGTGTTTTTCTCTCAAGACTGTATTATTTCATTCCAGATGGAGCTGCTTCAAGGAAGGAGGTGATCAAGAATAAAATCAGGGCCATTGGCAAAATGGCACGAGTCTTCACTGTCCTCAGGTAGCTATACAGAGATCAATAGTAATGTACAAGTGACGCAAGCAAATGTTAACTCCATGTGAAAAAAAAAGAAGCATTTATGATGAAAGGATTGTTTGCTTGATCCATTGTTTATTCTAGCTCGACCTGTAATTTTCTTTCTGTAAACAATGCAGGCATGGTAACTTTTTTGCCTCATTAGTCATATGAATTTAGTTTGTATTTTGTAGAAAGTTGTTGAAATATTGATCCTGTAATTGCCTTTCAAACTATGTTTAGCTTTTGCAGTTCAAGCAGTTTCATGTCAATTGATTTGAATCTGAACTAAACAATTTGTGTAGATCATTCTGCAGCTTTACAGCAATCATGCTGATAACTTATACAAATTATTTGTGTTTTGCAGAGAGGAAAGTGAAAGTGTACTACAGCTGAAGGGTCTAACACCAAATGGACTTCTTCCCTTGGGAGCACTGTCAGGAGGAAAGGATACATTGACAAGTGGTATGTATCGCTCAATATAAGAACTTAAAAATAAAAAAAGTATAAAAAACACCCTTCCTGTGATTTGATAACTTGACAATTTTTATGCCCTTATATTATCATATTATTGGTGAACAAAAGATTTGCCTATGTTCATCCCATTTCGATCAGGTTCAGTCTTATTGCTCCAGCAACGTAATTTCTGAACAGATTTTGAAAAATTATACAAAGGTCAGTTATAATAACTGTCTGTATTTTGGGGTTCCAAGGTCATTGCCAAGGTAACCATTACGATATATAGCAAATTGTCAACAAATTAGTGACATCACTAAAAAAACACCTTCATTTCTGTATAAATTTCGATCAAACAATATTGGCTTGTGAATTTACACATTCATGTCTTACAATTTCTACAAGTTTTTGCATTGAACTACTGAGTATATTTGGAATGAATCTATATCGTTTTATAAAAGTTATGAAAAATAGAATATTAATATCTTGTTTAATTTTGTGTTAATTAAAAGCCAGTTTCTAGATATTTTATAGTAAAAACACATGATTTATTGTATTAAAAGTATATGACATCCTTTTTGTTTCAGCTCTTAGTGGTTTCTCACCTTCTCACAAGATCAGCGGCTTTGATGAAGCAAAATGCTTGGACAAAATGAACGAGAGGATGCCACCACGCAAGGACGCAGTCAACAATTCTCATAAAAGCTAAAGCTCTGACAATGTGATACTCTGTTGAGCTGGTCTCTGTTCACATGTGACCCTGAAACAAACTCATTTCAATTGTCAGATCATGCTGTGTGTGTGGAAGCATATGCATCTCTGGCACAAAGCTGGCCCTCCTGATCTTGGCAGCAGATGGATTCTGTCGAGGTTAAACCCTGAAGAGCGCATGTTCTGGTATTTTGATTTTTTGTAGGAAGTGAAATAATGTCTGCTGCTAAATCAGCAGTTAGCATAAACCCTAACTCGTCATGTCATAGAAATTCATCTAAATGCATACACTTGTACACAATATATATATGACAACCCTGCGCTTTCATTTCCTGACGAAGAAATCTAGTCAAATGTGGAGAAGTGTCTCTTCTAAGTCGGATCATGAAAACTTGCTTGCAGGAACAAAGATGGCCAGCTTTTTGTTAGAAGTGTAGTGTGCATGTGCAGTCTGGTCAGAAAGAACTTGACATGGAATGAAAGACAGCACATCACAAGCCATTTGAACAGTTCATTATCCAAGCTGATCGCCCACAAAATGCTAACCAAGGCATTACCTTCTGTGTCGGACAGTTCCTTCTCTCCAGAATAGTCCAGTTCATTTCTGCTGGTACTGCAATGGAAGTACAACAGTAGTTGAGGAGTTGTAAGGACACATCAGTGAAGCATGGAGCTAAGGAAAGATTCTGTGGCTGTGGGGTCAATACAAATCCTGCTGTGGAGGTTATCTAAAAAAAAGCGCAGATGGTGTTGCCTCAAGTTAGAAAAGTGAAAGGTTTGTGATGTAAGTACTTGCAGAGGAGTTCACCTGGAGGAGAAGTGGCATTTTAATGGCAAAAAATGTATCTGAAGCTGGTGATTGGGGAAAAAGACCCGCATGATATATGTATAATATATCCAGATGGAGATCTTAAGATCTGCATTGTTATTGAACAAATAATAGCTCTCTCTTGAGATATTTATTCAAAGTAACCTCCACTTGATATGGAGGATAAATCTGCTTCATCAGGATTGTTGTTACTTCTGTTGTTGACTTTCTCATGTTGATCCATGATAAAGCTGGTGGTGTATACCCCCTGCCAGTGATATACAGATTTTAAGTTTCCATATGAAAATCTCCTCCCAATTTATCCTAATTGTATAAAATATTGTTTTCTATTCCCAGTGAGTGCTTGAATTATTTTTTAGTAAGAGGTATCCATCTTCTAGAATGTGATGTTGTCGTCATAATTACTTTTCCATTTAAAGTTACATTTTAGTTACTTTTTCTTTTGTTGTTTATGTTATTAATTTAAAGATAATATATTTGTGTCTGGGTGTTTTTTGCTTAGGCAAATTTTGAAGATAGTATCTCACAAAAATGTTTTGTGTGTGTGAACTAATATATGGATACTGCAACTAAGTATTATAGTATGTACATCTGGTTGGCTTTTGGTACTTGCAATGTACCAGGGTATGATATTTTGTTTTTTGGTCTTTAAAAACAACCAGTTTGTATTCCATTCATATTTAAAACAATTTCCATGTGTTAGAATACTAAAAAAAAAAAAAATCACTGTTATATTGGTGTCGGCAATGGTAAAAACTTGAGTAAAACCGGATGTCTTTCAGGTTTGTAGCAACACTTTGAATCTCTTTCTTGACACCTCGGCTATATCACAAATGATAATTTAGATTCATGTCATCATTAAATAATTACTAGTTAAAAAGACACTATCAGACTTATGATTGAAAAAATGACAAATCTTTGTTCATGACTAGTTTTATGCACTGTACCAATATGAATATGACAAAAGTGTTGCCCATGTTGATCAAGTTTTCCTATGATCAAAGTATAGTTGCATTTAGTATTGATTGACATCTTAATTGGAGCAATAAGTGAAAATTCTAATTTATGATAACAATAATTGGGTGTTGATGGTTCGTTGACTAGTATTAAATACCGGAGGAATCCTACCTATTCTGTTGTCACATTGGTGATATGCCTTGCTCAAATTCAGTAATACTGTAGTGCTATAACGACTACGAATGTACATTGCCATTTAGTCTTACCATTGCTTTATATTAAGCTTGTGTACTTTTGGTACTTTTTGAAGATTGTACTACTGTAGTGTGCTGTAAAAATGAACCATTAGAACTATGCTGATTTAAATACTAATGTACCTGCATTTATTTTAAAGCATCTTCTAATTCATTCAGATCATTCCCAGAAACACGATATATATGATTTGTCATCCTAGTGAAAATTGTTGACTAGTACATTGTATCTTTATATAAGTTTGTACTGTCATACAAAAAAACAGTCTGTTACTGTCAAGAAAGAAACAATATTGAGTAAAGAAAATACATTTGATTATTGGTTAGATTGTAAGGCAAAGAACTGATATATAGATTAAAAGGAAATATGTTTCCAACAGGCATGGTGCTAGGTTTAAAGTGATGCACAGTAGCAACAAAATTTCTATCTTGTTCTTACTCGTTACAACAGTACTTTGTTTGAAGATAACTTCAAGGTGAATGAGTCTTTTAAATAAGTAAAATGTACAAGTGCTTGGATTTTCTTGTGTAATAATTTGTCTTTATTAGATTATTTTAAGATATTTTTATTAGGATTGAACAGTGGTACAATGCAGAAAAAGTGAACTTTCTAATTTCAAAACTAGACGCAATTATTTAGGTGGCAGTTTCAACTTTGAAAATCAAATTGGAATGTACGCAATGAGCTTTGCTTGACCGACAATAAAAATGTCTGATCATTTCACCTTGTTGGGTAATCACTGACATCCCATGTACAATGATGCTAATTTGCTTGAAGCGTACTAGAGTTGAATGATGATGGAAAGGTTGAGTGTGCAATAACAGTGTTGGTATTTTTGCTGAATGTTCTTTAAAAGAGGAATAAGATTTTGATCCTCGATCTAAATCTGTTCACTGATTTAGTGTAGAGGAGTACAACAGGCTCCTGTGCAAGTATGGTTAGCAAGCAAGTGTTTTGAGATTTGAGCAAATCCTTCTGTTGTTCTGTTTTCAGTTTATTAACTCCTGTCCATAACATTCAAGTTCAATGAAGATTTAATATTTGTTCCTCCTTTTAATACTCATTCTGTAATGATGTAATGCATATATCATCTGTGTTATGAAGATATAATGAGTATGTTTTTGAAATAATTATTGGTCCACCTACCTGATCATCATTATGAAACTATTCATTAAATTTTGTTTCAAAATCTCCTTCGTTCATTTGATAGATATTTTAATAGTGTTGGTATTCAAAATGTTGTATTTTCAGAATGTCAGTCAAGCTCAAAAGTTTTGCTTCAGATTTGCATTTTGTTTTTAAAGTACCAGTAGAAAAGTCACAATTTATTGTACACTACTGAAGAAATAGGGTGCCAGTCAAATGGGAAGCAGCTGTTTGCATGTGCTTTAGGCTTCAGTCATTTGGGGGAAAAAAATAATTTAATCAAAGTGTACTAGGCCTATTGAGATTTAGCAATGTGAAATGGTATTGATGGCATATGAAAACATTTCTTTTATATACGTGTTGATGAGTTCAATGTTGAAAAAAAAAACTTTCATGTTAACGTGCATGTAGTATAAACTATGAAATCCTATGTTGTACATGTATTTGTTTTTTTTCTTTTCTACATTCTTTGTTTGCTGTCGCTGTTGTTTTTAGAACAAATTGGCTTATGCCCATTTAAATACATTTGCTGGCATTCCACAACAGCAACACTGAACATGAGCTAAGAAAATTGATCTGTATCAAATTCATGTTTTAAGCTGTGATTTATTAATTATATATCGTTTCAAGTGATATTTCCAAACCTAAAAAGTCCCTTCATTAATAGTATATGTGAACAAATTACTTTATAGATTTCTTGTATAGGGGAGAAGATAAGTCGGTCATTGCAGTATACATATATCAACATGGAAGTGATTTGATTGAACATTAATAAGATGTTGGAATTTAAAAATTTTAACATTTTAATTACTGTCAATAAACGTTTGAATGAACTGTTCGATGATAAAAAGCTGCTTATGATGTCTGGTTTTTGTTGTGTTGTCCTGTGAAAGGCCCCATCTTTATCTGGGATATATACTATTACGACATGTGTCAGATGTTGGTAATTTAAAAAAAAAATCTATATTTGGAATTTAAAAGGTTGTCTTTAGAACAATGTCATACATTGTATCATTGTAAATTATTGGAAAACCCATGTCTAAAATGTTGAGTATTTTACGACCCTAATGATTATTTTAAACAAGCTGCGACAGTTGTGTATGGTGAGCTCTTGCTGATATATGGTAGCATCTGTTTTGAATGTGTACAAGAATAAAAATTTATCAACATATTTCGAAAAATTCAATGGGTGTATGATGTTGGCGAGATCCCAGAATTTGCATATATATTTGTCATCTGTTAATATGACTTATGCACAGATGATATATTGTAAAATGTTGTGAAACCAAAAGTTGCTGTAGTTGCAACCAATAGATTTTTTTCTTATCAATTCATATACTACTAATAACAAAAAAATGTTGACATTGTACACTCAATTTATAGTTAGATTTAGTATTTAAACATTTCTTTATTTACTGATTGGGGGAAAAACCAGACAGTGAATGAGGAAATATTTTTCTGCATTCTCACAATTTTGGCAGTTTTAGGTGTTGTTCCAATTTAAGGTCTTGTGCTTGAGTCGAGACTCTTATATTGCCCTTCACATAATTTTCTCTACCACCAAGATCTTTTTTATACTTAATAAATATTTACAGTGTTACCATTATTACTAGCCTTTTCTTTGTTTGTGAAGTATGATAGCAAAACCACCAGATTTGTTTGATGATTCAGACATTTTATCACCGCATACATGATGTATATTCATGTACAAGTGTTAATCGTTATAAAAGTACTCTTTTATGGTTTGATTTGAAGTGTTTTTAAATGCTGCTCATCAAAGACATGACATAATTTGTTCCAGGAGTGAGAAGACGCACAATATTTTGGAATGACGCCCTCTATGGATTTGGAGATAGATTGTCCACTATGTGTCATAATTATTAACAGATTAACACCAAACTGTTTAAGGTGGTAAATTACAATTATAGCTAAGCAAAGTTTAATTACAATCATTTGATCATGAACTTTGGTGTTGGGGTTCTTTGTGGAATTTAGTGTAAAGTTGAATGAAGGGAGATGACCTTTATAAGGTTAAGTACATTGCAAGTGAACAATTTTCTCCGGAATGTTGTGACCATCACTTTATCAAATAAACCATCAAAGATATCTCGGTGGAACTTGAAAGTATCTGCAGCACCTATTAAAGGTGTGCAATACATTGTAATACTGTAATTTTTGAAAACTGAAGTATGACTTCATCACGCCGAGGAGGTGTTTACTGCTTACAATTAAGTCACAGTGACCATCTAAAGGTCAAATAAGTGCAAAACTATGCGTGAATTTTGTCCTGACCTTAAATGAAACATTTCTTGAATGAAACTTTATTTGCTTAAAATCACTAAAATAATATCTGCAAAACTGCTGTCAGCAGATTTTAATGGGCTTAAGGATTTCCGTACCATTGCCAGCTATGGAGTGGAAACCTGTTTCTCGGCAGGGCTATAGGTTTCAAAACCTATTTCCGAAAAGAAAACCATACCTAGCGTGTAGGACTTTATGGGGGAAAATAAAGATGAAAAATATTTCAATATTGTAAAAACTTAACAGGGCTAGACTGAGATTTGAACACTTAACTATAGATTGTATTTTGCTCTCACCGATTGATTTACCTTGTCAATGGAAAGGTTCTGGCCCAATTGTGCTATAGTTAATCCGAAACGAAATTAAGGGGAGGTAACTGTATACGAAATAAACCCAGAATGCTATGGGACAGGAATCTGCAATTGAGAGCAGGTTCAAATCGTCTGACTTGCTTCAAAAGACGTCTCCAAACCGAATACGAATGTCTCAACAAATCTGTTAGTTTATCCCTAGCCCATGCATGGTGATCAAACATTACACAACATTTCAACTTCATTCCAAATTGAGCAAGTCAAGGCCCTTGATAAGATATCAAAATCGTTACATTTTGAAAGAAAAATTAAATAACCAATGCAATGATTTAACTTAGAATTCAATAGTTTCATAATAATAACAAAATCAGGAAAATTGCGATACTGTAAACCGGAACAGTGAAACTATCAACTAGATGTTAGATGGGAGGCAGTTTGATCAGCCCATATATTGGAGCACAACACATTAATCACACGTTCAAAATTGATGAAATATCTTGTTATTGTTTGAAGGACCTCCGCACCATTGCCATGAACTGTACCTATGCATAGGAAACTTTTTCTGTATGACTAGTTTTGAGCAATCATTTCTGACAAGTAAACCATATCTCGTGTACATGTGACATTTATGAGAAATAACTAAGAAGAAGTAAATAAAATACGATGAAGTGTTCAGAGTGTAAAAAGATCAGCGGGGCTTAACCGGGATTCGAACCCCGAACTACAGATTGATATACAATCGCTCTGCCCTTACAGCTATATCCAAACGGAAGTTAAGGGGAGGTTACTGTATATAGTATACGAAAAACCACAGTGCAGTGGGACAGGGATCCAGATGTATGACGTTTTTGGACACTGGTTCACAAACGGTAGGTCTCGTAATATAGACGGGTAAGACACGGACAAAGTCCGGTCGCCGATGTGATGCATACATATTTAATATTGACGCATAGTCAATGAGTCTACTTGTTCCCGTGCAACAACTGTCCTGAAAATGTTCTAATCAAACTGGGTATCATTATGCACTGACATATAACGGCAAGTCCCGGGTTAAGTTTGTCATCGCATACACATTTAATCGTATTTAATAATGCTTCGTGATAATTAAAAAAATGGTTTGGTTTCAGTTTTATATGCAAAAGCCTAGTGGCGAGTCTCGAACTAAGTTTTTAACTATGCCTACCATAATAAGAGGTTCGATATAAACATTTGTACATGCATACTGACGAGTCTACGGCTAAGTTCAATCATTGCCAATGTGTTTCATGCATATTAGCGTATAGTTCATGAAGCTACATGATTATGGTTGGTTAATATTGTTCCCCAGCTTTAATTGTCTTAAAAATGATTCATATCAGAACCATCGATTAAGAGAGGCCTATATAGTTTATGATATTTGACAAGTTTTCCGTGCACCTAATTCCGATGCTATACAACATAGTTGAATGTGTTGATATTTGGCCAGAAGCAAACTGGGATGAAGAGCTACAAATTTGTTCAAATGAATGACCTTCATCCATTTTCAAGGTCACAGGGGTCAATTGTCTTAAAAAATCTTTTAACGACTTCTTCTGAATAACCAATTAGAGTCCTAGGATAATGATATTTGGCCAGTAGCATGTTGGGACGAATGAACTTGACGGATATTTAAGGTCACAGGGGTCAAATATGTTTGAAACCTTTTAACAACTTTTGAAGAATAACCAAGAGCCTAGGATTATGATTTTTTGCCAGTAATTTGCAGGGATGAAGGGCTACCATTTTTGTTCAAATGAATGACCTTTACTTGTATTCAAGGTCACACGGGTCAAATATGTTTGAAACCTTTAAACAATGTATTCTCTGAATAACCAAGAGGCATAGGGTTATGGTATTTGGCACGTAGCATCCTGGGATGAAGGGCTACCATATTTGTTCAAATGAATGACCTTGATAAAAATTTAAGGTCACAATAGTCAAATATGATTTAAACCTTTTAACAACTTATTCTCTGAATAACCAAGAGGCCTTGTATTATGATATTTGACCAGTAGCATGCTGGGATAAAGCGCTACCAAGTTTGTTCAAATGAATGACCTTTACTTGTATTCAAGGTCACAGGGCTCAAACATGTTTAAAACCTTTATACAACTTCTGAATAATCAAGAGGCCTAGGATATCGATATTTGGCCAGTAACATGCTGGGATGATGGGCTACCAAGTTTGTTCAAATTAATAACCTTTACTTATATTCAAGGTCACAGTGGTCAATTGTCTTAAACATCCTTTAAACAACTTCTGAAGAATAACGAAATGGACCAGTATGGCGATATTTGGTCAGTCGCATGCTGGGATGAAGGGCTACCAAGTTTGTGTAAATGAATGACCTTGACCTATATTAAAGGTCACAGGGGTCAAACATGTTCAAAACCAAAATGCTCAGGATGTTGATATTTGGCCAGTAGCATGCTAGGATGAATGGCTACAAATTTTGTTTAAATGAATGACCTTGACTTATTTTCAAGGTCACAGGGGTTAAATATGTTAAAATCTTTAAACGACTTCTTCTGAATAACCATAAGGCCTAGAATGTTGAAATCTGGTCAGTAGCATACTGGGATTAAATGTTACCAAGTCTGTTAAAGTCTTGATTGTTGAATGGAGTATCACAAAATATGCAATCCTACGGTTCCATGATAAACTTTTAGCCAAACATCAATAGATGAAGGGCCGTTAAAATCGCCCTTCGTCCATCGGGCGTCACTCAACATTTTTTGTTCCCGCTATTTCTTTGAAAGATTGGACGGATTTTGCTCAAATTTCATATCAAGATTCTGCATGGTCCGTAAGTCATGTGTGTTTTTTGTGAATGATCGGAAAACAAGATGGCGCCAAGCAGCCATCCTGAATTTGGACAGGTTAAATTTGTCATTACTATTTCTGGACGTTATATCGATAATTATGAACGGGATATATTTAAGGATTTCGTGCAGTTAGCGATTTTCAACCGATAGGTCACACTTCACAATATTTAATATTCTTTCTTCTTTCGAATCCTTATAAGGACAACCAACTTCGAATTTACCCACTCACCATTCTTGTATTTGGAGACATCAACCAAAAGACTCGATCAATTCCTCGTCTGGAATGATGCTGAGACGATTGTATTGTGTCATTGCCTGGCGCTTATTGGGCAAAATCATCGATGTTTTCCCCCAGTTATTCGGTTTGTAGAAAGATTGGTACGTTCAAATGGCCGCGTAGTCTGAATCTTCTACTAAAGATGAAGAAAATAATTTTGAACAAAGGAAAAATGATATTGACCGATTCAAATTTCTTTGTTAATGATACAATGTTACTTCAAAACCAAGCGAATTATCTGGTGATTAAATCTCCCCACATATCTTGCAAAGTGGTATATTTTTGGGGGGGAAACCCCGTTTTAACGTATTGGACAGAATTTTACTTTCAACCTCGCACTGTCATGGACTTTATTTTCATACATTTAAAGACTAAAACCTAATCAAAATTCATGCTGTGCATCGGAAAGTGAATCAAACGGTACGCGGCGAAAAAAACATAATCCCGCCCTATTTTGCGCTCTTTGCAGGAAAGTGTTTCTGTGAAGATTTGAATTGGTTTTCCTTTCAAGAATTCATATGCTATAACAAAATTATTCAATTTTACCGTTAAATTAATTTTGTGACTGAAATCATAGTCTTTTGAATTAAGTACTAGTTTTTTAATGCGTGTGTGTTTTCTTTATCGTTAAATCGAACTAAGACTTCGGGTTGATGTTTCCTAAAGACCGATGTGAATATAAAGCGAAAGATTCAGAGAATTTCTTAAAAAAATGCAAACATCATATAGATAAGTAAATATTTATTAACAAGTAGTTTGTTTTGCATGTGAAGAATTAACAAAAGAATATGTTGATCTTTCGATTGAAATTTTATTTTAAAAGATGCAATCCCTGTCAAGGAAAAAACAGCATAATCCTTCAGAAACGACATCAGGTTAATGAGATAATGGTAGCACGTTTGTAGTTATTATTTAAATCTTTCAGTGTGTGGCAAGAGAAGGGGGAGTGCGAGCTAGTGGTCAAAGGGAAATAACCCATCTTTTTTTAGGCTCTCACCTACTGAGCATGCGTTAAAAAGTTACTTCCTCTGTAATCATAATCAAAATGGCGAACGAGATAACTCACGCACCAAACAAAACATGGGAATTGAGTCTGTACGAGCTTCACAGGACACCACAAGAAGCGATAACCGATTCTACAGAGATAGCTGTGTCTCCAAGGAGTCTGCACAGCGAACTCATGTGTCCAATTTGCCTAGACATGCTGAAAAACACGATGACAACAAAAGAGTGTCTGCACCGTTTTTGTCAAGATTGTATCATCACTGCCCTCCGAAGCGGCAATAAAGAATGCCCGACATGTAGGAAGAAACTGGTGTCTAAACGTTCTTTGAGACCTGACCCTAACTTCGATGCACTTATTTCCAAAATATATCCTAGTCGAGACGAATATGAAGCACATCAAGAGAGGGTTCTTGCCAAACTAAACAAGCAACATAGCACTGCTGCGTTGACACACAGGTAAACATATTACATGTTCAATACTGCAGTAGGCATATTAATTCAGAAGTCTAAAGTTCAGAATCATCTAGTATCAAGGGATTTTCCCCCACTTGTTATATTTTGCGTACATAAAATGTATTATGCAGTGTACTGTACACTACTAAAAAAAGGAGCGAACCACAATGGTTTGTTTTTAAATATAAGATAGGGAAAAAAAATGTTTGGTAAATAATCAATATATCGACTATGTCATTTAAAGATAATGTTTGTGTGAGGAACAATTCGTTGGTTCAAATAAAATAACAGCTTTGTTAGAAATTATTGGCCTATGCAGGACAACTTGGTTTGAAATAACTGAAATTCTGTCCAAGTGACTCTTGAAAGTTGTTCCCATATTAATAAAACTTGATTAGATATGAATCCTGACTATTATATTTTTCAAATGCAATATATGTATATTTGATTATTTTCTCTTTCACTTTTTTAGCATTGAAGAAGGGCTGAGATTACAAGCTATGAACAGGGCCCAGAGAGTACGAAAACACGCTACAGAACCAGATCTTTCCCGACTGGAGACAGCCAGCACAACGTCCAATGACGCAACCCCAAAGAAGAGACCCAAGCCATACTCTGATGACTCAAGTACTGAAAATTCCATAGGGGAAGGTGGTTCTGAACTTGGGCACCCTATTGAGCCTGTTGAAAGAGAAGTACATGTACCAGTTAGTGACATTGAGTTGGTGTTCAGGCCTTTGCCGATTGACTCCGAGTCTCAGGCAGCCCACTTAGATGCCTCACAGACAAGATATATCAAGACTACTGCCAACGCTTCAGGTAGCACAAGTCATCATTTAATTGAGGTCAAATTGTGTACATTGATAAATAATTTAAATTTTCAGGGATGTACTATTTCATGATAAGAGCATTAACCCACAGGCACTGGTAGATTTTGAAAATTTCTGAAGCCCATCAATTTTCTTAATAGATATTGAAATTTTAGCTCGTCCAGACATAAAATCAACACAACTGGAATTGTACACCTCTGATTGCATTATACATTGGAACTATCAAAATGTTGCTATTGTGAAGTTGTATTTAATGTGTGATATAGACTAACAATATAACTGTTGACTAACTGTCATAAAACTTTGAAGCATATATTTATTTTGGAAAAGTCTAGTTTCTTAATTATCCCTACATTCATTATTGTAAGATAGTTATCAGGTGAATGAAAAATGATTTCATTTACCTTTTACATTTGTATGTGTAGAAGAGATATGAAAATGTTAGCTAGTTGATTAATATCTGTATTTTTATCATTGTCTTCAATTCATGTTAAGGTAATAAAATGTATATGATATGACTATACAAAATGAAAGTCCTTGTAATTTGATTTTCCCCCGTTTTGTTTCAGTGGATCATTTATCAAAATATCTTGCTATCAGACTATCACTGGAATCTCAGAAGACTGAAGGTGGTAAGTATAACTTTCTTAATTTGTCTTAACAGCAGAATATATTGATATGATATGTAGTGTAGTTGTTCATAATGTCATAACCTGGGCTAAGTTCAAATCTCATCAGAGTTCTCTCCCTTTATTAGCATCCTATCATTACTAATGTTTAGGTTTGGGCAGGTGGCAAGTGACTGCCCAACGCTAGACAGTCCTTCATCTTTCCAAAAATATTCTGGAGTATACACAATTTCAATTTGATGAGCTGGTTCCAGTCAATCTTAACTCCCTTTTCATAGACTATTCAGCTTGACATCTTTAGCATCAAATTTCTTCATTACGCAGATATGTATAAAACATTTATCATATGTCTGATAATCTGTAACTTACCAAACAATCTGATTAAAATTATCTGTTACATGGCTCCGTCTGAACATCTGAGTGTGCCGCGGTCAGGGTTACGTTCAGGTGACCTTTATATTTATAAATACTCAATTAATTTTGACCAATCAGAGACCCTCTTTCAAAAGGGCGCTCAGAGTTGTAACAAATATGGCAGACATTGATGAGAATGATCTGAAGTAACAAAGCTGGTGTGTTACAGCGGGTGCGAAAGTTCTGAAGTTATTAGAGAGTGATCGTCTGAAACCCGAACAGAAAAAGATATTCGAAACTTAATTAGAGAAGAAAGACTGTATGGCGGTGTTGCCTACGCAATTATTGCCCAATGGGTACGTTTTCCGTGGCGTCGTAGAAATGTCGGTTCCCGCCGCCATATTTGTTTTGGTGAACTAATCTGTTCGATACCCCTCGCTATTTATCTATCGACCATGATATTCCGATTCGCTGGCAAACTTTTGCCAGCGCGCCTCTGATTGGTTCATCTAAGGGTCACTTGAACGTGACCCTGACCGCGGCACATTCAGATGTTCAGGCGTAGTATGAAGTTAACGAAGCCATGTAACATATGATTTTAATCAGATTGCTTACCAAAATCATTATAACAAGTTATTCATTGTACAAATAGCACATTTTATAATGATTGGGGATTCATGAAAGTGCATTTAAAACTGGTATCAAACAACTCCTTATTTAGAAAATAATGTAGGGAATACCTGTATAAATGTATCAATCTGTTAACTTGCAGTAATTTATTGCAGTTTGCAGTTTTCTTTTATGCTGACGTTTACCTTCGATGATGTTATTTACATTTATTCATTGTTTTTTTCCCATTTGGGATTTTTAAACAGGCGAATTGAGAAACTTTTTCGACTGGAAATGGGTCTTTCAAACGGACCTAAACCTGATAAACCGCGAAGTATTTTTTTCTACTTCTACCGTTATCATACAGTCTTTATTGATTGATTACACAGTGTTGCTTGAAAGTAAATATTCTGACAAGAAAATGCACCATAATCTTCGACTGATTAGTTCAGAATTTTTACGTGTATGTTGCCTATTTGTGTTTCCAGGTGGACCACAAAGTGATGCCAAATACAGTATCCATATAGCCAGTACGCCCGGGTGTTACACGTTACTGAGTGGAGTTATGACCCTGGACCAGGTCAACGAAAAATACTGGCGAGTTAACAAGCCACTGGAAATGTACTTTGCCAGTATGAAGAAGTCCGAGAAAGAAACCACACCCAGCCACACGCCTACCAAGAAAGGCAGTGACAAGTGAACAGTAACAATTTCAAGGCTTACTCTAAAAAGAAAATTTTGTAACTTATTTAAGAAAATTGTCAAACTGGATGTAGTTGGTTGTAATACTGAGCAAATTCCAATTTAACTCCTCCATCCCTGAAGACACATTTGAATTCTTCCAATTCAAAGGTTGAAATAGTTCATTGTGAAATTTCAGGGGTGAATGATATGAGTTAATGTTTTTAAAGACAAATAATTCAAACAACTTAACAGAGTGTTTCCAGTTTCATGTTTTGCTTGGTTCTGTTATGACTAGGATAGCTTTCCAAAATGAGGATTTTAGCTTTGTTTGTTTTGGTAGTTATATTGTACTGGGGAAAAATTCGAGAGGAAAACTTATGGAAGAAAGTATGTGTTTACGTCCGTGAGCACAGCATTACACGTTTACAAACTGTATGTATGAGTTTGATAGAGAACAGTGTGGCATTAATAGAATTTCAGCGCCTTGGGAGTGAGAAAGGAAATCTCAATTCAAGAGGAAATAGTCATAAGTTGCAGAATTCAAGGCTTGCCAAGTGTTTTACAACTGAGGAATCTTTTTGCTATGGGTTCAGATCCCCCACCCTACCTCAAGGGGGTGAACATTTTTGTTCTCTAACCCTGCTGGTCCTGACATAGAAATGATACGATGTTGTCGTTACAGACTTAATGCATTGTCGACATGACATCATTGTATAGTTGAAGTGACGGTATATAATTGTTTGCCTGGGGAATCCCCCCACCTCAACCCTAGGGTGAGACGAGGATAACTCCCACCAGGAAAAGTGTGGAAACAAACACCTGTCCAGGGTAAGAGTAAATACAAATCTGAATCTGAGAAGTTGATTATTTACTAGCACATTTAAAAAGTTCATTTCTCTATATGTTCATCACTCTTTGTATGGGACATTACAGCACACTCCTAACCAAGATAGACACATCTCGCACAAGGTGAAACCTGTGATTTGTGTATTACTGATATGAGAAATCTAAATGACACTGCCATAAAAAAAAGAAATAACCAGTATTGTAACATTATTGAATGTATTACATGTATACTGCCAAGAGGTTTGAATAATGTAGATCTGTGCAATGGTATTATAATGTTTTGTAGTATATCGTTTATTGTGTGTATTGTTTTCAGTGGTACATTTTGTGTATTGTTTTCATTTGTACATGAAGAACTGTAGAATGTATATATTCAGAAATCAGTTATCAAGAAGGGACCAAAGTGCTTTCCCCTAGTCCCCTAGAAAATCTTACTGGAAAAGCACGTTTGGGAGATCTTAAGTTAATATTCCAAATACTTTTCTAATTTAACCTTGTTGCTTAATTTAATACAATTCCATCAAGTCCTTTTCTGAGGAACTTTGTTTTGAATTGCTTCATTTTACGTATTATGAATAGTTCCCGATAACCAATATCATGTTATTCAAAAGTCAGTTCTAGGGCGATTTTTAGTGTGCTGTCGATCATGAAGTGAGTTTACAGAAGTTAAGAGGTAAATACCTTATCATACATGTAAATATTTGAAAGATTTCTGTGAGCTTTTGATGTTTTGTTACACGAGTATTATTATAGAATGTTTGTCTGGAAAAAATGTTGTGTATATATCTTCTGATATATTTTAACTTTCTTTGTTTTCATACCAAACATCTGTCAGAATTCTATAGGTTGAAGTCTTCCTATACCACTGTGAATGAATGAAATTAAAAACCACATCCATAGCAACCTGGCATATCAGGAATTAGTGACATCATAGTCTTTGACTGTTAAATGTTAGAGATATATTAATTTACAATTTCTCTGTATCAAACACTTTTAAATCTATTTTATAATTGTCAGTTTTGCCATGTTATTGAATGTAAGTATACAAGTGCCATTATATAGTTTTTATATGTATGGACATTTCTGTTAAATTTGTGTCAACATCATTTGGTAGCCTCGGCCTACAGTACTTCAAAGCTGTAAATAATTTACCACATTCAGGATAATTTTATCAACAGATTTCTTGTGTTATTTCTCGTGCTTCATTGAAGTAGTGATCATTGAGCTTCGTAGGTAGTTAGTATTGATTACTCTTCGCTGTAAAACAGTAATGTTTTAAATTTTGGTGCATTTGAATGACAGTATTTTTTTGACATTTACCCAGTCGAGATATTAAAGACAGGAAACAGGTTCAATTGTATAGCATGGACAAGTCTGATCGCAGTATGGAAATGTTCTGTTTGTCCCTATTGCCTGTATTGGATCATTGCTGTATAAGAAGTAGGGCAATATTGTGTTTGCAGCATGTGTTTGTTGTAAATGAACAAGTTATAATAAAGCAACATTTTTTTTATTAAATTGCTTTTGTCTATTTTCGTCAAGATATTAACAAATGAAAAAGTGACAATATGACAGAGTATGGTAACAGTGTGACATGTGACAATATTATGAAATGCTTTTTTGTGACAATATTACACTATAACATGCTACATTGTGACAATATTACATTATAACATGCTACATTGTGACAATATAACATTATGACATGCTAATTTGTGAGAATATTACACTATTACATGCTAATTTGTGACAATATTACAATATAACATGCTAATTTGTGACAATATTACATTATGACCAAATAACATTATAACATGCTACATTGTGACAATATAACATTATGACATGCTAATTTGTGAGAATATTACACTATTACATACTAATTTGTGACAATATTACAATATAACATGCTAATTTGTGACAATATTACATTATGACCAAATAACATTATAACATGCTACATTGTGACAATATAACATTATGACATGCTAATTTGTGAGAATATTACACTATTACATACTAATTTGTGACAATATTACAATATAACATGCTAATTTGTGACAATATTACATTATGACCAAATAACATTATAACATGCTACATTGTGACAATATAACATTATGACATGCTAATTTGTGAGAATATTACACTATTACATACTAATTTGTGACAATATTACAATATAACATGCTAATTTGTGACAATATTACATTATGACCAAATAACATTATAACATGCTACATTGTGACAATATAACATTATGACATGCTAATTTGTGAGAATATTACACTATTACATACTAATTTGTGACAATATTACAATATAACATGCTAATTTGTGACAATATTACATTATGACCAAATAACATTATAACATGCTACATTGTGACAATATAACATTATGACATGCTAATTTGTGACAATATTACATGTTATGCTACATGGTGACAATAACATGCTACATTGTTACAATATACCTTTATGACATGTTACAAGGTGACAATATTCCACTATAACATGCTACATTGTGACCATATAACATTATGACATGCTTATTTGTGACAATATTACATTATGACCATATAACATTATGAAATGCTACATTGTTACAATATAACATTATGGCATGCTACATTGTGACAATATGACATGCTACATTGTGACAATATACCATTATGACATGCTACATTGTGACAATATAACATTATGACATGCTAATTTGTGAGAATATTACACTATTACATGCTAATTTGTGACAATATTACATAATGACATGCTAATTTGTGACAATATTACATCATGACCATATACCATTATGACATGCTACATTGTGACAATATAACATTATGACATGCTAATTTGTGACAATATTACACTATTACATGCTAATTTGTGACAATATTACATAATGACATGCTAATTTGTGACAATATTACATCATGACCATATAACATTATGACATGCTACATTGTGACAATATTACACTATGACATGCTACATGGTGATTATATTACATTATGACATGTTACATTGTGACAATATTACATTATGACATGCTACATGGTGACACTATTACACTATAACATGCTACATGGTGATTATATTACATTATGACATGTTACATTGTGACAATATTACATTATGACATGCTACATGGTGACACTATTACACTATAACATGCTAAATGGTGACAATATAACATTATGACATGCTTCATTGTGACATTATTACATGCTACATGGTGACAATATTGCATTATGGCATGCTACATGGTGACAATATAACATTATAACATGTTACATGGTGACAACATTACATTATAACATGCTACATGGTGACAATATAACATTATGACATGCTTCATTTTGACAATATTACATTATGATATGCTCCATTGTGACATTATAACATGCTACATGGTGACAATATAACATGACATGCTTCATGGTGACAATATTACATTATGACATGCTCCATTGTGACATTATAACATGCTACATGGTGACAATATAACATGACATGCTTCATGGTGACAATATTACATTATGACATGCTACATTGTGACAATATTACATTATAACATGCTTCATGGTGACAATATAACATTATAACATGCTACATTGTGACAATATTACATTATGACATGCTACATTGTGACAATATTACATTATGACATGCTACATGGTGACAATATAAGATTATAACATGCTACATGGTGACAATATAACATGACATGCTACATGGTGACACTATAACATTATGACATGCTTCATTGTGACATTATGACATGCTACATTGTGACCATATAACATTATGACATGCTACATTGTGCCAATATTACATTATGTTGTGACAATATTACATTATGACATGCTACATGGTGACAATATAACATTATAACATACTACATTGTGACAATATTACATTATGATATGCTACATGGTGACAATATTACATTATGACATGCTACATTGTGACAATATTACATTATGACATGCTACATTGTGACAATATAACATAACAAGCTACATTGTGACAATATTACATGCTACATGGTGACAATATAACATGACATGCTACATTGTGACATGACATGCTAATTTGTGACAATATTACATAATGACCATATAACATTATGGCATGCTACATGGTGACAATATAACAATATAGCATGCTACATTGTGACAAAATAACATGACATGCTACATTGTGACCATATAACATTATGACTTGCTCATTTGTGACAATATTACATTATGACCATATAACATTATAACATGCTACATTGTGACCATATAACATTATGGCATGCTATTTTGTGACAATATTACATAATGACCATATAACATTATGACATGCTACATTGTTACAATATAACATTATGTCATGCTACATTGTGACAATATTACATTATGACATGCTACATTGTTACAATATTACACTATAGCATGCTACATTGTGATAATATACATTTATGACATGTTACAAGGTGACAATATTCCACTATAACATGCTACATTGTGACCATATAACATTATGGCATGCTGATTTGTGACAATATTACATTATGACCATATAACATTATGACATGCTAAATTGTTACAATATAACATTATGACATGCTACATAGTGACACTATTACACTATAACATGCTACATGGTGACAATATAACATGACATGCTACATTGTGACAATATTACATTATGACATGCTACATTGTGACAATATAACATTATGACATGCTACATTGTGACAATATAACATTATGACATGTTACATTGTGACATGCTACATGGTGACAATATAACATGACATGCTACATTGTGACCATATTACATTATGACATGCTACATTGTCACAATATTACATTATGACATGCTACATTGTGACAGTATAACATTATGACATGCTACATTATGACAATATTGCATTATGACATGCTACATGGTGACAATATTGCATTATGACATGCTACATCATGTTACAAGGTGACAATATTCCACTATAACATGCTACATTGTGACCATATAACATTATGACATGCTACATTGTTACAATATTACATTATGACATGCTACATTGTGACAGTATAACATTATGACATGCTACATTGTGACAATATAACATAATGATATGCTACATTGTGACAATATTACATTATGACATGCTACATGATGACAATATTGCATTATGACATGCTACATTGTGACAATATAACATTATAACATGCTACATGGTGACAATATTACATGCTACATTGTGACAATATAATATTATAACATGCTACATGGTGACAATATAACATGACATGCTACATTGTGACAATATTACATTATGACATGTTTCGCTATAGTGACACTATTACACTATAACATGCTACATGGTGACAATATAACATGACATGCTACATTGTGACAATATTACATTAAATCATGCTACATTGTGACCATATAACATTATGACATGCTACATTGTGACAATATTACATTATGACATGTTTCATAGTGACACTATTACACTATAACATGCTACATGGTGACAATATAACATGACATGCTACATTGTGACAATATTACATTATGACATAATACATGGTGACAATATTACATTATGACATGCTACATGGTGATTATATTACATTATGACATGTTACATTGTGACAATATTACATTATGACATGCTACATTGTGACAGTATAACATTATGACATGTTACATTGTGACATGCTACATGGTGACAATATAACATGACATGCTACATTGCGACCATATTACATTATGACATGCTAAATTGTTACAATATAACATTATGGCATGCTACATAGTGACACTATTACACTATAGCATGCTACATGGTGATTATATTACATGCTACATGGTGACAATATTACATTATAACATGCTACATGGTGACAATATAACATTATGACATGCTTCATTATGACATTATTACATGCTACATGGTGACAATATTGCATTATGACATGCTACATTGTGACAATATAACATTATGACATGCTACATTGTGACAATATAACATTGTGATATGCTACATTGTGACAATGGTACATTATGACATGCTACATTGTGACAATATAACATAATGATATGCTACATTGTGACAATATTACATTATGACATAATACATGGTGACAATATTACATTATGACATGCTACATGATGACAATATTGCATTATGACATGCTACATTGTGACAATATAACATTATAACATGCTACATGGTGACAATATTACATGCTACATTGTGACAATATAATATTATAACATGCTACATGGTGACAATATAACATGACATGCTACATTGTGACCATATTACATTATGACATGCTACATTGTCACAATATTACATTATGACATGCTACATTGTGACAGTATAACATTATGACATGCTACATTATGACAATATTGCATTATGACATGCTACATGGTGACAATATTGCATTATGAAATGCTACATTGTGACAATATAACATTATGATATGCTACATTGTTTATGAC